GAAGACAATCAAAAGGAATGCCACACAATAATCTACAAGTTTCTTATTCTTGTCCCAGGGCTTTGTTGATGAGTGGGAGAGAATATAGATGTATTGTCAAGGTTGGATTGAAGGGCAGGCAGAGGAGTATCCTAGCCATTGCTGTCATCACCAGGAGTAGCTATGTTTATTGAGAGACCTGTCACTGCTGTCTCTGAGTTCAGGCAGGAGGGCACAAAGCCCATCCAGTATGGGCTATAGTGGTTTCTCACTCTCCACACTCACTTAAGCTCAAAGAGCATGAGACCTTAATAAGAGAAAGTCACAACCTTCATGCAGAAATCAAGAGTCAGCAGCACGAGGGGACCATTTCTTCTACATCTTCCTGGGGTTTAACTGTCCCTCAACCACTGAGTGAGTCTAGGTTGTAACATGTCCTATGTAACTTAGAAATCTGAGCCTCTTACCTGCTTCAGATCTCAGACTCTGAGTCTGAAAGATCAGGGATATCGGTTAGTGTTTTCTACAAAGTATACTGAGAATAACAACTAGCATCCAAATTGTACTTTAAACTCTACAAAACTTTCACACAGTTTCTCATTTGGTCTTCACTGAGCTATAAAGTAGAAATTATTCCCATGGCACCAACGAAGAAAGACTCAACCATGCTAAGTGACTTTCCCAAAATAACCCTGTGAATGCCTTCTGGTTTCTAACCCTTTGGTACTTCCTTTATATTATACACTTAGCTCTAAGATTTCATAATTCATTGTTTCTTTTCTGGATACATATGTTTTTAAATTACAGCTACAATAAGCAATCACGACTAAACCTTTGGGGCTTAATCCAATCTGATAAAAATTGTTAAGCTTGCACCCATAGTAGCCTACTGTTAGTACCATTTTTCCAGATGCTATACTGCCAAACAGATTGGCACTTTTTTACATAGTCTTGGTATATTATGGGTACTTGAATAATATGGATTCTTGACAATAGATACCCAATTTCAGAAACCCAGATTTCAATTCATTTCTCAATATGAATGGTTTTTCTTTGAAACTTCAGAAATATCCAGATGATTCGAAGCCAAAAGTTAATTTTTTTAGCACTTTTTTCTAAGATATAGCATAATAGCAATCAAATTGTATGAAAAAGTTTCTTTCTAAAAACGATACTCTCTTGTATTCTCTTCAAAACTTTAACCTTAGAATTCATAAGCAAAATCCAGTGTACTCCTAGTTTCTAATCTTGTAATTCTCACAAAAATCTATGCCTCCTAAGCTCTAATATCCGTACTTACTTGAGAAACTTGCTGAAATCAGCTTGGGGGTTCTATATGTATTTTTTTTTTAAGCCTAAATGGGGACATGATGATCTCACCATGTCCATGTGAGGTTTTGTCTATTCAGAGTGTATTTTGGCAAATACTATTGCATGATAGTGGAGTATTGGTAACTTATATTTCTGCTCTTTGGCTAAGTTCAAGTCTCCTAAATTGTCAGGTTCCATTGTCACCTATGATGGTGATCAATACAACATGCATTAAGAAGACTAAGTCATGAATCTGAGCCTCTGCTAAATTCCTTTATAATTTAGTTTTTTCATGGTTTTTGAGCATTTTTCTGGATTCTTCAACAACATGGAGTGCGCTGACATTGAATTATTCTCGATTTGTTTTTGTTCTTGTCCCTCCAAATGTATTATAAACTTCTAATGGTCAGAATCAGAATTAATTCTCAATAAAATCTTACAGGTATGGGTAGAAGTGGACATATAGCTGTCTGTTCCACCTCCACTCCCACCTCTGGTTGTCAAGCACTTGGATCAGCCCTTCCCAGTGGGATTATGGAGAGAGGCACAATAAAGAAAAAATTTTCTCCATTAAAATAATCATCCACTTTACTATGAGCAACTCTTGTCTTGAGCTAGTTTTCCTGATATTCCTAAGAATCCCCCCCCTTTAAAAATCACTTCTCCAGCCAGGCACGGTGGCTCAAGTCTATAATCCCAGCACATTGGGAGGTGGAGGCAAGAGGATTACCTGAGCCCAGGGGTTCGAGACCAGCCTGGACAACTTGGTGAGACCTCATCTCTACAATAAATAAATAAATAAAAATTAGCCAGGCGTGGTAGCACACTCCTGTAGTTCCAGCCACTTGAAAGACTGAGACAGAAGGCTCTCTTGAGCTCAGCAGGTTGAGGCTGCCATTACTGTGAGTGGGCCACTGCACTCTGGCCTGGGTGTCAGAGTGAGACTCCAATTCAAAAAAAAAAAACCAATCACTTCTCCTTCAGCAGATGTTCACTCTACTTATCTCTCTCTTCCTCTTACTATCTCCTCCCATTCCAAATCACTAGTTCCCCTAACCTTCAAGCCTCACATTACCTGACGCTATTCAAATATTTATAGAACACCTCTTATGGGCCAGACACAATACTAGGCACTAAAAATACAATGATGAGCAAGATCATTCAATATACACAGAGTAACATGGAATCTACAGAACTTTGAGTCTAGTGGGGGGAAGCAGACAGTAGGAAACAAGGAATGATGCGGGTGGAGGAAATATCTGCGGGGAATGGGAGCATAGAGCAGGAAAAACTTGTCCTGTCTGGAAGGCTTTCTGGAGAAACTGAGATGTGGGGGATGGGTAGAAATTAGTCATGAAAAGAGGTGAAAGGATATGAGAGAGAGGAGAGGAGAGGAGAGGAGAGAGAACTAAATTGATATGTTCAAGCAACTCAAAGGAATTCCACATCCAGAGTTATTCAATGTGGAGAGAGTGGAGGAACCCTGGGGTAGTGGCCAGCTGAGAGCTTTAAGCTGGGGGGGGGGGTGAGCATTTTTAGAAGACTCCCCCGCTCTCCTCCTGTGGTGCAGAGTGAAGAAACATCCAGGCTGGTCTTAAAGGATCCAGGAACCCAGGTGAGAGATAAGAATTAGTGTAATGTCTGGGGGTTAGAGAGAAGTGGACTGCTATGAAAAATATTTCGGAAGAGGTATAATTTCCAGGACTTGGTGGGGGTTTGGGAGAGAGGGTTTTTTAAGAGGATGTCTCATTTCTGACTCAGGCAGCTGGGAAACCAGTCAGGCCTTTCCCTGAGATGGTGGACACCCGGGGAAAGGCAGGCCTAAGAATAGGGATGCCGGGTTTACCCAGTTGAATTTGGATACTGGTTTTGAGGTTCCTGAGAGACATCTAAGCAGATATATGTGGAGCTCAAATGTGTGGCCTTGTTGTACATATAAAGTTGTGAACCTTTGGAACAGAGAGGTAGTCATTGAAGCCATCAGAATGGGTGAGATTGCTGAGACCATGTGACTCTGGAGAGAAACCTCTCTTTGGAGTCACTACTTCAGGGACCTGTCATCATGGCAGCAGTCCCAAGTGAGAGGTGGTGATTCCGGCCTGGGAAAGGAGAATTTATTATAGCATTTATGAAGTGTAATTATGTGGAAAAATTGTCCCCTGAGGAAAACCACAGACACACACACATACACACACACAGTTTCATAGCCAAATAAGTTTGGGGAAATCTGCATATTATACTCCCCACTTAGAGAACATTAAGGACTGACAAGTTTTGTGGTAGAGAACCTTTTTGTCTTTGTTTAACTCAGCTTTCTCCCACGAGCCTGCCTAGACAGAAATTATTCCAGAATCCGAACGTCTCAGGGTAAAGGAAGAGGAAAAGAGCTAGCTTTCCCAGATGCATGCTTCCAAGTCAAGCGAAGGAAAGAGTTTCATCCATGTCTTATTCATCAGATGAAGAAATGTGGGCTCAACAATTGCATCCAAGCTTCACAGCTAGCTAGTGATGCTTTTGGGTTGTCACTTAGTCCCTTGACCTTTTTAATCTAAGAAAATTCCAGTAGATGCAGCAGAGTGAAACTGTAAATACATTTTAAAAATATACTGGTCAGTGTCTCCCAAAGAAATTTGAATCTTAGCTCTGTCAATTCTTAATTGTATAATTTTCTAACCTTCTGTGATCTCTGCTTTATCTATAAGTGGGAATATAACAGTAATGACTAGGAGTATTATTAGATGTTACCATTAAAAAACTGGGTTGAAATTTGCTCAAGGCTTGGTCTCTCTTTCTCTCTCTCTGTCGCTCTCTCCCTCTCTGCAGCTCTCTCCCCGCCTCTCTCCCACTTCCTCTCTCTCTCTTACTCTCTCTTTTTCTTTTTTCCCATTACAGATCCCCTCTGTAACAGCCACTTTAATAAATCTCTTGGTCCTGGAAAAAAAAAAAAGAAATTTGCTCAAGATCTCAAAGCTGACAGAGGTAACACTGGGAATGAAACTCAAATCCTTGGGTTTTAAATCTGATGCTCTCTCTACTAACTAGATTGTGTCTATTGGTGCTCCTGTGATCTTGCCATGGGGACTACTCCTGCCAATGACATCACATAGGGTCAATCTTGCTTTTGAGATAGAGAAGTCTGAAAATGGGGTCCAATCAACTGCAGTCTAGAGACTGGCCAAAGTCAGTTGGAGGGAGTGTGAGAAGAGAGTATCTTTAAACAGATATTCTCAACTGTCAGTCCGAGAAAGCTTTAATCAGAGATGGGGTCTTGCCATGCTGCCCAGGCTGGTCTTGAACTCCTGGCCTCAAGCAATCCTCCTGCCTCAGCCTCCCTAAGTGCTTGGATTACAGGTATGAGTCACAGCACCAGCGTGAATACTTAAAAACAAAAAATTGATTCTTGTGTTCCCCTTCAGTCTCAGTCTGCCAGTGGTGAGACCAGGTGCTCTTATTCTTAAACAGATCCACAATTAATTCTGAGGTGCCACCTTGATTGCAAAGCATCATCTCTTTCTATGCGAAAATCGTCACCAAAACCACCCTGGAATCCACTAGCACTCACAAGTTACAGCCTGAACCAACTTGGTCTTCAGATTTTCCTTTGTGTCACAGAAATGAGTTTAGGGTGGGCTGTGGGAGAAAACTTTGAAAAAGCCAATGGAGAAGGACTGAATCTCTGAGGCTAGAGAGGGCGGACTCAGCCTCACTTCCTTCCTCTTCTCATCTGGGCTTCCTGTTGTCACAGCGTGACCGTATTTTTTCTCCCTTCACTTCTCCTTTTTACACAAATAGCCTCAGACATCCGTGTTACTAGCCTTGTCTCAGCCAACGCAGGATTATTCATCAAATTCGGCCTAAAGGACTGAGGATCGGTGCCTGCCGAAGGTAAGGCTGATGACATTTTAACGTGACTCGCCGTCTTATGTGGGGTAGGGCGTCTTCTTAGGGGTCTCTGTGTACCTCTCTAGTAACTGTAAAATCTCCTGCAACTTCTGTTTCACAAATATTTAGTGCAGGAAGTTAAAAGAACAGCAAAAACCTGGTTACACCCCACAGGCAATCAAGCCAAAAATACATGTACTTCGCCAGATTCCAGGCATCTGATGTTTTGAGTCAGGGCATTCACGTGCCTTTATTGCTACAGAACTTGAATGACTTACTGTGTGTGGCACTTTCTGATGCCTGGAGCCTTTTGTGTGAGATGAAGTTGGGGAGATTTCCTGTGTGCTCTAGTCTTTTGAAAATCGTGTGATTTTAAAGTGAGGGGAGAACCCTCAACCAGAACCATTTAGAAAAGGCAGTTAGGGGGCATGGATCTTCATTTGAGAAATTTTCTAAAGTAGAGATAGTGACTTACAGTGTGATTCCTTAGAGCCACTAAATAGAAAACGCTAAAAATTACATCAGGATGTGATCAGTAACTGTATTTTATGAGTTGAAAACTAGATACCTCTAAAGAATGCTTAGATTGTTGGCTTTTAAGGAGCAGGAGGAGAATTGTGGTCCTCAGGGTTTTCCCAAATTAACTTGGCGTACAAAACATGAATATTGATAAATATAACATAAAATATACTTATGAAAGACAACCCACAAAGCTTGTTACTGCAATCATTTCCCATTCAAACTCTGTAACTAGTGATTGAGCTTGTATGGACTCAGCTTAGTGATAGCCAAACTTTGATTCCTGACTTTCTGAGGCCACCCATAGTAGCTGCTCGTCACCACAGAAAGCTCTGTATCAGAGCTTTCTTCTGTCAAGACTTGCAAGAATATCCCCTGGAGGGGAGAGGAGAAAGTTCCCTTTGACCACACTCACTCACCTAAAAATATCTCTTCTCCAAGAGACGGAGGGCTCTAAGATTACAAAGCACTTCGGGGAACTTCAAGCCTCAAATTTAAAAATAAAAAGACCAGACTTTTTAGTGAATTCACTTAATAATCTGGTGTTAGGAGCCTCCTGAGGCCAGGCACTGTGCTTTGGGAAGACTGGTAAGGAGGAGGGAAAGGTAGAGAAGACTTTTGGTCTAGCACCCTCAGGGAACTCCCATAGGAGATAGGCAATACCATGTTGTACCTGTCCTTTGGAAGAGAACTGAACAAAAGCAGAATCTTAGCTGCCAGATGAACAAAGCAGTTTTGCTTTCTCAATCTTCAGGGCAATAATCTGCACTGTTTTGAGATTGTGGTTGAATGGGAAAAAAAGCTGAACTGAACCATGATTTCTGGGCCAGTTAAGAGCATTTAGCATTTAAATGAAAGAATTGGGTACCTGTATACCTGCAGGAAATGATTCAAGGCCCATCCCTTCACAGCTATGGTTACCACCTCCCAGGTGACCTCACCGTTGTTCATGGACAAGCACAACTGGAAAGGACAAACTCTGTTGGTTGCTGGTTTCTTGTGGCCTCTGGCTGACCCTGACTCTCCAGAGACCCTCAGCTTTCTGTTCTCCTTCCCCACTCCAACCCCGTGACCAGACACTGTGCTCAGCACTAGAGACACAAAGTTAACTGAAATGGTTATCAGTTTCGAGGAAGTTGAAGAGTCTAGCGTGGATGACAGACTCAGTGATACACAAATACAGCACAACGTGCTCTTTAATGAGGGAGAATGTGAGCAAGCGTAGGAGGAGTTTAGGAGTGTGCCAAAGACTCTCTAGGAAAGGAGATGGCAGCTTGAGTTCACTTTCAAATAAATATGATTTTGTTATGGAGACATACCAGACCAAGGGCACTGTAAGTGGAAAGCTGCAGAACCATGTACCTTCAAGAATGTTAGAAATGAGAGTAGTGAGTGAGTCTGCAGTATAACATACCATGTTTGCCATGTTTGCAGAACCCACAGGAAGTGGAAAGCCCTTTCTCCTACTCAGCACCTGAAAAAGAAGACCGGGACAAGCTCACTGACCAGGCGGGTCTCAGGCCTGGCTCTGGGTAGTGCTGTGCCCCAAATGTCCACTTGACAGAATTGATGGGATGTAGCTTGAAGTGAAAGAAAAGAGGCAGGCTTCTTCCTCTTTGATCTAGATTTTCCCCTAGCTCAGAGGAAGGGTGGAGCTTCTTTATGATGTTACAGCCGTTCTTTTTAGCTCAGCTTCCGTTCCAGGAAATACTGCGTTGATTCCGTTTCAGTCGTTTGTTTTGTGTTCCTAGATTAGTCACCCCACAGCACTTCTTGTACTGAGCGAGCATCCACTGTGAGTAAATCACACAGTGGATGCTTAGAGAGTGGACACCTGCCCTCAGGAATCTCCCAAGATCCCGCTGCCACTGCAGGTGGAGAGCACTAAAGCAAAGTAACCCAGAGAAACCAGACAGCTGGGCAGAGCTGGACTCCAGGGTGGCTGCTTAGAAGGAGTGGAGGACTGAGCTGGAGGTCGGGTGGTCAGTTTGGGAAGGTTGTCTGCAAGTAGGTTTTGGGAAAGAGAAAGATATGCATTTCCAATGCCAGAGAATGAGCACTCAGAGTGGAGGCCGTGAGTCTCTATGCAGGGGGATGGAGGAACATTCTCTCTATTCATTTCACAGGCACACAGTAGAGATCCTACCAAAGCAGTAGCATCGGTGCATCACAGCTATAGCCAAGAAAAGACGCCACAGGAATACATTTATACAGTCATTTAAAACGAGAGTGCTGAACTGATGAGTTCTAGGGAACAGAGCAGCAGCAACAGAGTTGTTGGTTGGACTCTGGTAAATCAGTAGAAGAAGACCAGTAACCAAAGAGATTCATACTTATTTTCCTGGAGTTTTCTCCCCTTCTTTGACTCTCAGGCAATCTCATTCTTTAAAAATGTTAACGCTGGGCAACCTCCTTGGGTCTCCTCCCTTTGTGGGAGCTTTTCTGTCCTCTCAATAAATCCTACTTTCTCAAAAAAAAAAAAAAATTAATGCTGGCCTGAATGTGAAGGGTAATTTTTTTCTCCCCACATCTCTGTCAAACAGATCTTCCCAATAATTAAATGTGCATCCTTGGGCTCTAAGAGCAGTCTTGTTGAACAAAGCAACCGCAAATCCAGCTAACCTTTAAAGAATGAGGGTGTCAAAGTATCAACAGATGTTTTAATTTGTGCAATGCTGGGATTTTTTGGATGCAAATGTTCCTAAAATAGTTATTGAATTTAGACAGCAGGAGAAAGATGCACTCAGAAATGATCTACAAGCCTCTCAGTTGTAGAGACATCGTCTCCTTCAGCAGAAGTGATATTGGACATGTTGTTATAAAAGCTGTATGTTAATCATCATCTAACGAGAAAGTATTATAATTCTGTGATTATAATATATGAGAAGAAGAAATAGAGAACACTGCAATTTTTTTTTGTTTTGTTTTGGGGGGGGTTTGAGTTGGAGTCTCACTGTGTTGCCTAGGCCGGAGTACAATGGCATGCTCATGACCACTGTAGCCTCAATCCACTGGGCTCAGGCTACCCTTCTGCCTCAGCCTTTCAAGTAGCTGGAACCACAGGCACATGCAACCACACCTGGCTAATTTTTTAAAAAAATTTATTGTAGAGATGAGGTCTTACCATATTGCCCAGGTTGATCTCGAACCCCTGAGCTCGAGATCTTCTTGTCTCAGCCTCCCAAAGTGCTTGGATCACGGGCTTGAGTCACCATGCCCTGCCTGCAATGTTTTAAAGTGTACACACATACACTCTCTGTAAAGTCCATAGCTACATCAAATAGAGGATGAAATAAAAGGGCTCATGCTAAAAAAAAAAAAAAAAGAGAGGGCTGTATTTTAAATGTTAGAATGTTGGTGCTTAAAAGGAAGTTAGAGATTAAGTTCAAGTATCTAACTTATAGTGATAGCCCAATAAATGTGAACTGCTGTAGCTTTCCAACCTACTTATTCTTCGCATAAAAAGACTTGTCTAAATTCATAAAATTGCATAACTATTTATTTAGACTGTCTCCTGATTCTCTATGGAATGATCTTTCCTCCACACTATACTATATCCCCCTTTTGTAAAAGAAATTGCTTCTTAAATAGGCATCATTAGCCGGGCTCGGTGGCTCAGTCTATAATCCCGTGCTTTGGGAGGCTGAGGTGACTGGATTGCCTGAGCCCACGGGTTCGAGACCCGCCTGGGCAACTAGGTGAGACCTCATCTCCACAATAAATCAAAAAGTTAGCCGGGCGTGGTAGTGCTCACCTGTAGTTCCAGCTACTTGGAAGGCTGAGGCAGAAGGATCACCGGAGTCCAGCAGGTTGAGGCTGCAGTGGCCACTCCTGCACTCCAGTCTGGGTGACAGAGTGAGACTACAACTCAAAAAAAAAAGGCATCATTAGACTGTGTTCTTCATTTACAAAAAGAAATTTCCAGTGCATTTTAACATAAGCAAATATGAAAATACAACTTATCATAAATTCAATTGACCTTAAACCAATAGTCTAGAAAATTAAATATTTAATATTTAAGATCATAAGATTTCCTCACCTTAAATATTTCTTAAATTAAATATTAAATATTTAATCTGCTAAATTTTTGTTTGACATTTTCTATTTCAGGGGAATTAGACTGAGGGATAAGAATGACAAATCATTTTGACATCTCATATCTTTTAAAACTTGTTCAAATAAATTTGAACTCACAGTTTAATATTTACTCTATATCAAGAGCAAATAGAGGCATTAAAGAATAATCCCATGGTTCAATCTTTTAAAAAATAACCACTGTAGAATCTCAGTATTTATGCCATAGGGAACTTAAGTTGTGATCATTTTGAGATCAGAATCCCTTAGATCACTAAATCATTTTCAACTCTTTAAAAAAACTTTGACAGAAATTCAGACTTACAGGCAACTTAAAAAATAGTATGAATTTCTGAACCCCTTTCACCTAGATTTCCCAATTATTAGCATTTCATCACATTTGCTTTATC